ACCTGGAAGATCACCTCATCCCACCCCCCCCCACCACAGGCAGGGACGCCTTCCACCAGACTAGGCTGCTCAAAGCCACATCCAGCCTGGCCATGAACACTTCCAGCAATGGGGCATCCACAGCTTCTCTGGGCAACTTGTTCCAGTGTCCCACCACCCTCACAGTAAAGAATTTCTTCCTAAAAGATAATTTAAATCCACCCTCTTTCAGTTTAAAACTGTTACCCCTTGTCCTATCACCACAATCCCTGACAAAGAGTCCCTCCCCCTCTTTCCTGTAGGCCCCCTTAAGTACTGGAAGGCCATTATAAGGTCTCCCCAGAGCCTTCTCTTCTCCAGGCTGAACAACCCCAACTCTCAGCTATTCCTCATGGGGGGTGATGCTCCAGCCTCCTGGTCATCTTCATGGCCTCCTCTGGACCTGCTTGAGCAGGTCCATGTCTTTGTGGGGGACGCCAGAGCTGAACACAGTACTCCGAGTGGGGTCTCTAAAAGTCAGGTCATCTCTGGTGGTCTAGGAGACTAGTGCACATGGAGAGGCAGGTACCGAGCAGGAAGTGAGATGAATCCTGCACCTAGCCATCCCTTCCACAATAGCTGTTCCAGCTCTTTGAGCATCATTACCATCTTCTCCAAACCTTGTCTTGTCCCATTGAGTCCTGCGTTTTCATAAATCTGCTTACTCTAATGCCAAAAGCTTGTTCACGAGTGGTCATGGCCAGCTCAGGGCATCCATTGTGCAAATAGGTTTGTTTTCTTAATAATCTTGGTTTTTCCTCTTACATTCATATACAGTAAATTCCCATCACCAGCTTATCACCCACCCACCACGTCATAGAAGGTTCCTCTGTCCTTTTTCCCAGGGCTGGCAGTTTGGGCCTTGCTCTGGGGTTGCATGGAAGGATGCTTTCAGTTAGCTCATCTGTACGCAGTTTCTTAATTGTTTTGACCAGATAATCAAGCAGACTTGAATCACAGAATCATTTGGGTTGGAAAAGGCCTTTAAGTTTATCAAGCCCAACAGTTTCCCTAACCCTGCCATCCCACCACTAAACCCTGGCCCTAAGCACCTCGTCTGCCCAGCTTTTAAATACCCCCAGGGATGGCAACTTGACCCCTTCCCTGGGCAGCCCTTTCCAGTGCCTGACAGCCTTTTCGGGGAAGGAATTTTTCCTGACATCCAACCTAAACCTGCTCTGGCACAACTTGAGGCTGTTTCCCCTTGTCCCATTGCACATTCCCTGGGAGCAGAGCCCGACACACATACCCCAGCTCCCCCCTCCTGTCAGGCAGTTGAAGCCACAGCCCTCTCTTTGTATGTGCTGGGCTACAAAACTTGACATACTTTATGGTCGTAGTCTGCTGAGCCACCTGAACTCCTGCAAGCTTTTAACTTTATGAGAGAATAAGGGAGAAGGTAGATTATTAAAAAAAGGATAGATGAATCAGGGAGAAGGTAGATTATTAAAAAAAGGGTAGATATAGGCCAATTAGTCAGGGAACTGGGACATTAGAAATACTGATAAAAAAATTGATTGATTCAAAAGCAAAAATTAGGATTATAACTCATTCTGGTCAGTGCACTTTAATGGAAAATAGTTCATGTCAAGAACCATGACTTCATGCTGACATGGGAAAAATTGGGAAAGACTTATTCTGTAAAGCATTCAACTTAATACCACAAGATCAGTCATTTAAAAATCAGTAGGACCAGGGACACAGGGTACTCGGCTCCTCTCCACTATTACTTCCCTCTCTTAAATGTCTTTTTACACTTGTTCCTCAGGCTTTGAGTTCTCCCTGATGTTGGGCTGACGCTACCCTTTTCTGGGTTCGTGCTGCCTGTCCCACTTGTGGTATGGGGAGAAACCTGCTGTATCACAAAGAATAATGTAGTAAACTGAGTCCATCCAAATAAAATGCTTTAATACAGTTAAATGCAATGTTTTAAATCATAAACAGTCTTCAGTAACCTCGGCCCATTTCTGCACTTTTCTTCACCTAGGCAAAGCCTAAATAACTTTACAGGAAAAATTCAAGATACTGAAGGAAGACAAACATTGGAGGAAAGACCAGAGATTATTTTAAGAGGTGGGGAAGCGTAAGGCAGACAACTTCTTGTGTGACACTGGGAAAAATGTGAAACCTTGAGTCTGGAACAGTCTCCAAAGCGGTGTTTTTTAACAATGTTGCTCATTTACAGTTGAGGGTGTGCACCTGAAGGATGACAGTCTAGCCACGTGAGAACAAGTCACTGAGCATCATACAGACAGAAATGAGTGAAATAAATACACATCTTTAATTAATGAGAGATTCTTGCTCCTGTGGATCCATCCCTTGCATCTCAGATGATGCATGAAACTTTCTTGGTCGCCCTGCAGCCAGCCAGGTCTCTGGCAAAAAGATTATCCCCTGGATATCTAACAGTAACTCAAGCCTCAGAAATCACATCTGTCTAAGAATAAACAACATTAACTGCAGTAGTAACAAATACACTCAATACTTGTTCTTTGCTCTCCCTTATCTGAGTCATTATACCCCATTTTTGAACACTTTCTGGAAATAGAGAGGTTGGATGAAAACAGATGCTGGGATTTCCCTCCTGGCCAGGGCTTTGGGAAGTATCACAAGAGTTTTGATGAAATGGCAGGCACTGAAGTATAAAAACAAATTCCTCTTCTTTTGTGAAGAAATTGCCTTTTGCCAGAAAAAACATGCTGCAACCGAACGTCTGCACTTGTTAGACTTCAAGTCCTTCCAGGAGGAGTCCTTCAGCAAATTGGCTCATTTAGACACAACAGCCAGGAGCATGGAGGGTAAAAAAAAGGGTTTTGTTCAAGGAAAGCCTCTGTATTGTAAACAGGATAAAAGGGGATGGAGAGAGTCACTTATCACTGTCTAATGTGTCCCCAGGTCATTCCTGCGTAGCACCTACTGGAGAAAAAGGATTTCATATTCACTGCTCTCTTAGAAACCCCAAGCCAACCACGGGGATTTTCTCTATCAAAAAATCTACAGACATGGTGTGCATTCAGCAGGCGCCCTCAAACTCCTATCGGTGCATTCCCCATTACCCTCCTCTGGCTTGTGGTTTAAAGCCTTGCAGCACCGAGGGGCAAGCTGCACACTCTCAGGGTCTCCTTTGTTCTGCCTGCACCAGCCCATTTTCCCTTTGCAGCTACAGGACTTCACTCCCTCTCTGAAAAAGAAGACCCCGATTCTTTATTTCAAACCAGACCCTAGTAATGTGTCTC